CAATCGCAAGGTTGCAATGTATTATACATATAAACCTTCCTTTTGAATCACTCTAGTTACTCTCACAGATAGTTGTTTCGCATCTGGGTGTTTGTCCTCGTGTAATTTATGTTTGTAAAACGTCCTTACAACACATGATAATGTTATCCTAAAGTGAGGGCAATGTTTTTTAAAAAATAACGAACAATAACGAACTCTATCTAGTAAAAATAACCGCATTAAGATCCGTTGCGTAGGTTTAATGATTTAAGCATACATAGGGACAGACAGACAGCGGGACGACTTTGTTTTATACTTTGTAGTGATTCTGAGGTCTATTGTCCCTATTATGTGTATAAAAATAGTATCTATAAATTTGAGTCAACACGATAAAAATATATGGGCAAACTTAGATTTTCGCGAAAACTTATAAGTACCAAAATTTACCTTATTTTCCAACGTTTTTATTTTTCGGAATATATTCTTTATTTATGCCTTAAGACCTTGCTTTTAGCCAAATTTCGTGATTCTAGGTCAACAGGACCTACCATATAGGTTTTCGTCCCAAAACCTATAGGATACCTTCTCGTTGACCTAGAATGGTCAATTTTATATAAAACATTCTAATAACTCTAAACTTTTCGCCTACTTGTGGCTCTTCAAGCGGTCACAGCTTTCCATGGATTTGTTAAACTAAAGTAGCGACCAGAAACGCATTCTGTTAACCTTAGTCACCGGATGACCAATGTATGCAAAAGTACGAATATACATAAAATAATATATATAGTCTAATATAGAACGTCGTCCCTCCACTAGATGGAGTGACGACCTGCGCAAATGTGCGGGAAGTCGATGGATGCAGGTGGCTCAGGATCGTACTTCGTGGCAGTCTGTGTGGGAGGCCTATGTTCAGCAGTGGACTCAAACAGGTGAGATGATGATGATGATAAATATATATAAAAGTACAGCTCTACCCTCGTCCGTTTTCTGTCAGCCAGTAAGCCAACTAAGCCGGCATATCAAGTGGGATAGACGTTGCGGCTCTACAAGAGATAAATGAAGCTTCTCTGACGCCCAGATAGTGCTTTTTTTTAGTGTGAATAATTATGATCCCGTCGCAGCTGTATGCCTTTGCAATTCTCTTCTCTCCGAATATTAGGAAACCTGCTTTAGCCACCATATGGCCGCCTCGGTGCAAAAGGGTGACCTACCACTAAGGTTGTTAAACATACTGTCGGCGGTAACGGACAGACAAAAGGCAGAACACCGAAAGCTTGGACAACCGTTGAACGCGTAGAACACGGCATACTGATGATTTGGACGGATTTCGCCCATAAAATAGAAGCCTAATAAGAAAAATGCACTGTGTAAAATTTACTTTATTTTATACGCTCGCATTAATTACTATCTATTTTTTTATGTGAAAAGTTGTCAAGCAGAGATTAAGTGAATGCCGCCGCCGATGGAAATCCATAATACCCGATGGCTTGTGATGTAAATAAAAAAAATAATGCTGTTGTGCGCGTCACGGAAAACGGCGGGACGGATTTCAATTAATTATTATTTGTTTTATTTCTTCAACATTTTAATTTAATGTAAAGTTGTTAAAATTAAAGAAACAATGAATTTAAGCTCTACGTGTTCAGTGGTGTATCGTTTCTTGCCGCGTACATTGCACATAATATATAAGTAAAATACATTGTTTAATGTAATAAGCAAAGCAGACAAAACCGCGGGTATCAGCTGGTTACATATGTTTCAAGGACAAACTTACAACGCCATTGTTTCGTCAACAAAAAGTAAATCGGTTGTTCATGGGGCAAAGTGTGCGCATATATATATAATAAAACCCCACGGTCGATATTAAGTCTGCCGCTGGATGAGTTTAAATCTAAAATTAAAAGTCAACTTATGGTTAAAGCATATTGTACCTTTGCGGAATATCTCGACGACGCCAATGTGTGGAGTTAATACTGTTGATACCCACGTAGGCTAGAATAAGACTATATACCTGTGTGTTATATTGTAGACTGATATTTTCAAAAAATCTAACTGTTGAATTTCTTGCCGGTCTCTTCTCAGCAGAAACTGCCTTCCGAACCGGTGGTACCTTACGAACCTATATATAAATTTTTATGTAAAAGTTGACGATTCATAAGAACGCACAAGCGTCTATTTGAATAAAGATATTCTTGATTTTGATTTTTTTAGTTTTATTTTTTTTTTATATTAAATCGTTAATATTCGAACAATCACGTCTAATCCGTATTTAAAAAAAGACTTAGTTGTTGTAGAATCAGTACAAACATACAAAAGTAGAGAAATCAAATAAAAAACAATCAAGGATATGGACCACGATTCCCTAGACTGATATTGTTTCATAATAATAACCTGCATATCTGGTTATTGCGCGTAAGGTATCCGAAGAACTCGTTGTATGACATTACAATTCGGGTCGCTTACTGCTTTGTTATGTTTTGTTTTTTAAGCGCTATGATGTTTTAATATCGACGTACTTTTTCAACTAGTTAATATCGATTTGTCTGTGGTCGTGCCACGCAGCGTCTTCTGATGTTATGGCCAGGCTTGTCCAGGAAAGCAGATGACCACCGGTAAGTGTCCCTCAATTGCGGAGGCACTTAATTTAAAACGTTGGCAACCCTATAGTAGTATAGATGTCCATGGGCGCTGGTTATCACCTAGTATCATATAAAATATTTTTTTTTAAATGGGGATGTCGACAGAACTGAAAACTAAAGAATATCAAAATTAAAATATTTAATTACGCATATTTTATCGGGACACCGAACGATATTAGGTAACAGTACATATTTATCATATCCATAAGTACAAATATATTTTTACGTATTCCTTTTTTTTAAATCGCTCATGGAAAGCGTTCGGTGAAGATGAAGCGAGTTTCACGCTTTTTGTTAACCCAAAAAGTGCTTAGGTTTTCACTTGAAATCTCTACGTGCGCACAAAAAGTACTGCCGGTGGCCTACCAAAGTTAATCAAACTTGAAGAGAGATCCACGATCTCTTTATAACTACAAAGAGAGAGAGAGAGAGGGACAGAGATATGGATTAAGCGATCGTATACCATTTGCTCCCCCCACCGCCGCCAACGTGCTCTATTATCCAAACATGTCTCGAGTATCATCGATTATTTAAAATCGTACTATTTCATAACATCACTGATGTTTTTAAAAGATATTCCCCACCGACTGTTACCAACTTCAGTGCCCCAATATCTCTTCTTTGCATAACAACGCGTGTGCGTGCATAAATTGGTTTTTCAGTGAATTGTTTGGCGCCGAGAGACATCTCATCGCCACGTATCGGCTACATAGCGGTCGAGAAAAACTTGTGTTTCAGCAAGGTAAGTACAAATAGTTTTTTCTGCATCATTCATTGAAGTGATTGGAGACATTATCTTTGATCATATCTTTTAAACGGATATAACTAAGTAACATAGTATTAATGCAAACTAATTTTCAATTAGTAGATAATATTTTTTACGGGTTCTTCAATTTAAATTCCCGACGTTTTGAATGTTTTTCAGAATTTATTGTCACGGGACAGACATTTGTGCTGTTGGTGTTAATAAATAAATAAATAGACATACAAACATGCCTTAAACAACGCGATAAATCCGTAAAAATAATTGTGTATGCATATAGTTATGTCTAATATCTATATATAATCTAATAAATATTCGATAAAACCAATAAGTGTTTCGAAGCGTGAACCTACAGAGACCAATTTGTTATGATTTGATAATCCTCCTGACTTTTATTGAATAATTGGGGTTTATAATTATCAGTAAATATTATCAAGTGAATCGTTTGATTTAGGATTTGACAATTATTTGATTTCATGTATAATCCGGTCAAATTAAATCAAAAAACTAAGAGTGAAGCCACGTAAATTCCCACCAAGCTGAAAATCAGTAAGATTGTTTAAAATATGATTAAAAATAACATTTCAAAGTTCCCCATCTTTCCCCGTATGGAAAAAATTTAAGTAAAAAAATGTATTTTCAGCAAAACAAAAATTTTAGATCGTGAAATTATCTAAAAAAAATGTATCAATCATTTTTTCCTACGAGCTACCGTTTTTCAGATATAAAGATTCAAAAAGTTGTATACGTCATAATATGCACGTTGTTACGTATGTTAAAATATTGTTCTATCGGTCATTGTAACTTACACTTGCATGGAAACGTGCACACGACGTATTATGACGATTACAACTTTTTGAATTTTTATATCTAAAAAACGGTGGCTCGTAGGAAAAAAGTATTGATACATATTATTTAGATAATTTTATGATGTACAATTTTTGTTTGAAGTATTTTTATAATAAAACTTACCGTTTTGCTGAAAATCGCGAAAAACTCATTTTTGGCCTTTGACCTTGAATAACTTTTTTTCTATACAAGGGAAAGATCTTTCAAATTTTATTTCGAATCATATTTTAAACTTTTATACTGATTTTCGGCTTGGTGGGAATTTAGGTAGCTTTGAATGTCTAAATTGACCGGACTGGTAAGTGACGTTTAGAAGAACTTTTAGTCTAATTTAATCGCCCTATCTTTTTTAAATTTATAATAATTTATAATAAGTTTAATCTCATTGTTTTATTTCTGGCAATCTTTATTTTGATATTAACTCAATTAACTTCGTGATGTTGCTTTTATCATTAATTTGTATTAAATTGGCACACTATTTTAATTCACAATAACTCCCAAACTTTACTCCGCATAGGCACTGTTCGTATAAGATTTCACACATTAATTAATAACATATTAATTTTAAATTTTGCTTATTAAGTACTAATAATCTCTACATTTAAAATTTGTAGAAAAATGGGCTAAAACTTTTTCGCCACCGCGGGAGTTCGATTCCGCGTCTTCCCTTATCTTGCCAAGACGCTTTAACCACTAAGATAAACGGCTGATTGCTACGCAGACAAAAATCTAAACATATTTTATATACTAAAAAACCTTTCAGATTTCAAATGGCTGATGAATTGCAAGGATGCGTCAACGAAGCTTTCGAATTATCAGAACAGGCAGAAAATGATTGCTCAAGCGAAGAGAAGACGAATAAACAAGTAAGCGGACGAAATCAATCGGAAATACCGTCCAATCAAGCAAGTGAAGAAGGAAATTGCAATGAAATACTGCCGTATAAAATTATTGAACGCTCAACAACTTTAAGTAGCGATGTTGCCGAAAGATTGGATTCTGTGGCAAAAGATTTAGAGGAGACTGATAAAGATAGAAGACAGCTTGACACACAAAGGAGGTTGTCTATTTCCAGCTCGATTGACTTAAATTACAAATTCAAGGGGCCGATATACGAGAGTTACCATGAAGGAAGAAATGAGCGAAGGTCTTGGATGCGGTTGTCATTACGAGAAGAGACTCTAAAAGGGAAGCTGTGAGTTTTATTCCTATCTAGAATGTTTGTAGTTGATATCGAAACGGGCTATATTTTGTAAGTTCTACAACTGTTATCCTCAGTAATATACAGCTTACAACCAAAGCCTGAAATTGACTGTTAAAAAAACTCAATAGTGTATTGATAAAACTGTTGCAAAATTTTTCCCTTCTGTCGGATTCGAACCTGCACCTTACGGATTACGTCCAGACGCTCTAGCCACTATGCCAAGCGGTCGACTTTACAGCGCAAAAGTCACCACCAAAAAAAGTCACATTAAAACAAAGTAGGTAACTACTTTGTTTTTATTGCATATTGTACCAATGTTAGAGTAATATGATTCTTATAATTATAGCAATCAATCACACCTTCCTAAATTATACTTTTTTTATAAGGATTTGAAAAATAAAGACATTTACGAGATTGTTTATTTAAGTGTGGACTTGTCACGTGCTCAGCCGCGATGGAAAACATCGTTAGAAAACCCGCATATTTTTCAAATAATGAACAAAAAATATTTCGAATACCTAATACAGTCTGTACAGAAGATGCCCTTGCCCAGCATTGGGACATATATAGGTTGTTATTTTAATTCACTTTATTTAGTATGCCGTAACTATTCCATAAATTCTAATATCAATTAGTCTTCGTTCTCCTTGAGCGAAAACGGAACCAGTCCCGTTATCACTCAAGTTTATCAGCCTTAATAATTAGTGTTAAATATTGGTGACCTACATAACTGTAGTAAACTGCGGTTTTAAAGACGGAAACGGCCAGATAGATTGAAGAAAATTTTAATTTTATCATTGTTAGCAGAAAATTACAATACGGTTACTAGTTGTCGAGTTGTCGGAATTTACGAAGTATTCTATGTAAAAGTGGTCAAAAGCAATGAAGGACAACAAAAGTTCTCAGATAATTGTAAAGTAAATAGTCATTGTATCACTCAGGCGAGTGATATGATAAAAATGTCTTAGCAATTATGATGAACATAATGTTTGCTATAAAAAATTGTAGGCGCCGCTAAACTCCTTGGGGTAGCTCGCTGAAACTCATGCCTATAGATTACGAGTATGATTAAAATCAACAATCACAGGCCCTTGCTAATATTTTATTTTCAATATTTCCACAAATTTGTTTTTGCAAAAGTTATATTAATGTGAAATGACACTTTTTTATAATTGTAGCCCTGAAAGATGCAAACATCTTAAATTACATAATTAAAAATCTTGAGATGCGTGATATATGCGTTTATTTTATATATATTTTTATCATAAAAATTAATAAGATATAACAAAATTTAAGTTACGAAAGAAGGTGGTGGTAGTAGATATTAGTGCAAAAGCATATTACCTCCCACCTTACCACCCATTTAGTGTCTGGAGGGGCGCTGAAATGACTGGACCAAGACCAAGTTTTGGAACACGCATTGTAGTTAGTACCTAATGGACATTCATTGTCTTCTGTTTATCGCGTAATAACGGTGTAGATGCGCCCAACTATCAGTAGTGTTCACAGCTAATTAAGTAAATAACATTATATATGACTAGCTGTTAACTGCGGCTTAGCCCGCGCTGGTAAAATGGTATTTACAATGAGTTTTTTTTATACACCATATTATCTCGTAGATGACAGAATTTTTCCTACTTAGTTGACACTTATCATTACCTATATTTTGGACAATTCACACAATATCTTTATAAATTAGCCTATGTGTTATTCTGATGCATAAGCTATATTATTGTAAAGTTTTTGCGTGAAACAGTAACAAACATTCATACATATATATATAAACTTTCGTGTTTATAATATTAGTATGGATGAATGGATTACTATGGATGATGAAAATCGAAACCTTAATTGCTTCTTAAGGTACCGTATTTTTTATTACAGTATTTTTTACAAGTATTTTTTTGAGTTTCTCTTGCTTACGTAAAGATAAAATCACTCACTATGTTCGTACTCATGGATAAAACCCAGATTTATCACAAACATACTGTAGTATACTATAGCAATATTTGAACACATCTCAAGGTGTTGGATCCTACCGCTAAGCCATTGCGCCAATTGAGTCATAAAAACGTTTTAATAGCATAATATAATATTTTATTAAAATTATTAATTTACGTGATTACAGTAGGATCATAAGTTTGTATAACGGCGTCAAAATGTTATTGAAAATTTAAACATTTGACGACATCACATTAAATGGGTTTTATAGCCCCGACTTGTCTCACGAAGAATGCTTGTTTTATTTCCGTTTGATTACATTTGCAAACGATCTTTGTCATTTAGAAGACAAACTTTACACTGCATTATGCAGTGTGATATCGTAAAAAAAACACAGTTTCATATTTGTAGAGCGGTGTAGTGAAATTATTATATGAAATCCCTCGGTCAATATTGTTAAAATAATTGAAAACTTCTATCAGTTTTTACGAGATAAGAGCGACTGTTTCAGTTTTGTTGTCATTTGTCAATCATTACGGTGATGACGCTAGTTATTATTTATAAGCATTTATATATTCTTCTATCTGCTTCCTATGACGCACTAGATGGGATCGGCACATGTTCTTTCTTTCCGATTTCCTCTGACAACCCTCATCTAAATTCTTACCCCTTTAACTGACATATCATTCTTCACACACCCAAATCTTGATAGGTCCTTCTTTAGCCTTACACCCTCGATATTTATTCATAATCAACACTCTTTTTTCGACACACGTCTTTCACACCTTTTACAAGCTTTTATATTAAAATTCATAATTGAAGAAGAACAAGATATGAGCGTAGCGAACATATATTAAGCTCATTTCATTATTATATTGTCTATGTCTAGTAAATGTAGGTGACAAATTGAATTGGCGCTTAGCTCTTAGCTTTCGTTGCATGAAAAAGACGGAGAGCCTATTGAGAGATTTTTTTTTGCAGTTTTTGCCTATGGATAAACATAATTTAGAATGTAATACACTACATATAATTTTAAACTTTTTTATAAATAAAAAAAAATATTTTCGGGATATTATTTAACACAACGTTATCTTGTCCCAATCTAAGCAGAGCTTGTACTATGGGTACTAAAAAACATACTTAAACGTACGTTTCTTTTATAAATAAATACATATATAATAGATATATAAACACCCAGAGAGTAGAAAAACTACACAATACAAACAACACTATGTTCATCACACAAATTTTATCCAGTAGTAGGGATCGAACCCACACCCTGAAGCCCAAGAGACAGGGTCACTTTCAACCACGCCGTTTAATTGGGTACTAGCTATATTACTGTAAAGTTTCATTAAAATCCATTCAGTAGTATTTGCGTGAAAGAGTAACAAACATCCATCCATCCATACATACAAACTTTCGCGTTTATATTATTAGTACGGACTAGTAAAAAAAATAAAATTTTGATTCATAAAGCATTGCAGAATTCTCGCTGCTAATCAAATAAAGAGTAATATATCATATACGTCACAGCCTAATATACTTCAATTATCTTATCTAAGTGATAACGTTATTACTGTTATGTTATACGGCTGGATAAATGTTAGTTTGTTTACTTCTTTGGCACACGTGCGTCTCTGGAGAGCGCCGTCATCCATTTTCTACCGACTTCAAAATAGGGGGAGGTTCTCAATTGGACTGTATTTTTTTTTTGAAGTTTGTTACCTCGGATCTTTCGACAGAATGAACCGATTTCGATGATTCTTTTTTTTATTTGAAAGCTGGTGCTTCCCATGTGGTCCCATATTCGTTTCATTGATATTGGATATTGGGTTCCGGAGATACGAAGGGAACTCCTGAAAATCAATTACAAAATGAATACAGAGCGAGATATTTGAAGTCGGTTTTGTTTTTCGTTAAAAAAATGGACTTGTTTTCACTTTGATATTTGCCACTTGCCAGAAACATTCACGACAGATTTTTGTACTCTCAGCAATTGATTGCGGCTCAATTAAACAATGCGTAACTCATCCCGCGTAAACCTCAGCGTTTTCTAAGAAATTTTATCCATATCATATTATAAGTCAGTCTTATCGAATATAACGTATTCTTATATACACGAACTAGCGGACCCGACGGACGCGGTCCTGTACACGCGTCTTAAATCGAACAACAACTTATTAACAATAATAAATTAATAAAAAAATATATTGGACCGAATTGTAAATCTCATTCTCGAATCCACCTGACACACAACAAATTTCATTAAAATCGGTCCAGCCGTTTAGAAGTTCATTGACATACACGCCTACAGAAGATATTGCACTGATAATTTATGTTGGGGGTACAATACTCACATCTCGATGAAAATCCATGTTGTTGCACGTTCAAATGCTATGAATTTTATCTTACACTTTGTGGAATTGTTAAAACATAGCGGCTAATGGTAGCTCTGTAGAAAGACATAAAGAAGTAAAGTTAACTTACTATCTCGGGTTTCATTTGTACATTAATTTATGAACAAGTCTTTTCTACATTAACCATAAGACGTGACACACGATTTGCATTCGGCATGCACGTCTAGTTAATTATAAGTTGCATGATATTGCAAGCAACATAGATTGTAAATATTCGTAGATGCTACTTAGTTACATACTGAAATAGATTTATTTTTTTAATTCTAAGCCGTATGTATTATTTTAATTTTAATCATTAAATCAATGATAGTCGTGATGAGAACAGTGAGAGTCGGGATAGCTTATTGTCGAAACGCTCGCTTTTAATTCAATATACTCGAGCAACCCCAGTTGAATCCTCTCCGTGCCGGTACCAATACAATGAAATTGTAAATTTAAAGTTTTTGCTTATCATGTGCTAAGCGGTGAAGAAACGAAAAGAAGCGGCAAGGAAACCGGCATACTTTCGAAATAATAAAAAAATATTTCGAAGATATGTGAAGTCCGCAGTGGACAAGATCGCATTGTGGCCTGTGCCCTAATACCCTCTGAACAGAGGAGGCCTTTGCCCAGCAGCGGAAGAATTTTTATA